AATAGGCGTGTCGACAGGGTAAAAAAATCAAAAAAGTAATTAGTCCGTCATTAAGATCGCACGAAAATATCAGACACGTATTTTTTGTTTTATCAAATTAACAGAAGAATACGTAGTTATTCCGCATTAAAGTTAGGGAGTGGGGGGTGTTGACGTCACACTTACGGAGAAATCGTACCTAATTGTGACGTCACGCGTCATTTTAACTCAAAATATCTACATGTTTTTTTGGATACGAGAAAAAAGAAAAAATACGTATCGAAGATTTTTAAAATATCTAAAAGACGGACAAAAAATTAAAAAATAGTCGCCATGCCTATTGTCAACACAGTTGCGATGCCTTTGGAGTTCGACTACCGTGCCAGCTTACTATCAGCCGTAAAATTCATTACTTGCAATAGTATTATAAAAATATTAATATGTACACATTTTGTAAAGACAAAATAATTCTTTTTCAAACTAGGTTCAAAAAAATCTACTTCAATCCCCCCTATTTCTTTGAAGTCGGTTAAATAATATAGGTACCAAAACCTTCTATTAAATGTAGCAAACACTTTTCTGAAAACCACAACAAACATACATTCATACAGGTCAAATTGAAAACATACTTTTTTTCTTTTTGAAGTCGGCTAAATATAACTAGGTACTATGCGCAAACAGGGACTAAATGGTATAATTGGACACAGTCTTTGGTCGAAAATAAATTATTTCGACTGTTCAATACAATAAAATATTAAAAAATAATCACACTCTCATTAATTGATTTTATGACCAACTTAATTTTAGTATTTATCGAGCAAATTCTTAAGAAATAAGTATGGCTGTTTGACCGTGAAAACCGTGACGTCACAATACACAATCTTGTAGTAAATTAATAGAAAACTGTCGTTTTTGACAATTCAAAAAAGTATTGATTTTGCCTAGTCGGCAAGTATCGAATTATAGTCAGAATTTTAATTAGATTCCAGATTTGACAATAGCTACTGTCATTTTGTGAAATAATGATACCACATATAATAGTGTAGTGATGAACACAAAAATCGATAAACAATCAGTGTGTGTGTTTTATAATAAATGTTACAGAAAGTGACAGTTATAGCGATAGCGATGACGGCGACAATTTATAAAATAAATGATTACCATAATACATCTATCTGTATTATTTGTCATGTGCCTTCATAATTACATTTTTTATTTATTTCACACACAATAATAAAAGAAAAGTCTCAGATCGTTAATTAATCGTCAAAACTAAATTATCGGTCAGAAATATTTAATTTCCTGATATGCTTAGTTTACGGGAGTAAAATTATTAACAAGAAGAATCGATCCAGAAGTATTCCATTTCCATATCGAATAATTTCGCAACGTCACTATTTAGTACATGTCATAACGTTGCAACACCGAAATTGTCAAATCTGGAATCGAATTAAAATTCCGAGTATAGATGATTACCTTTTTAGTAAATAATGATTCCACGATGTCCCATTTGCCGGATTTGGCGTGCACGTTCAACACAACCCAGTCGTATTGTAGCGGAGTTATCTAAAACAATTACAATACAAAGCTACTACGGCAGTAAAAAATGTGTGGAGGTTATAATTTTTAATTACTAATCGATGCCTTAACATGGTTTTATCATCACTGCAACGCTAGTAATATAATTATGGTGTGTTAGTTAATAATATACCTGATGCCGTTGACAGAGTGTGAGTGGCGACATGGCGTTCCCGGCGCCCTCGTGCCAGTGGTGCGTGCAGTTGTACGCCAGACACTGAATCACTGACTTGTAGCTCAAGTCCGGCTTGTTCACGTGTTTCTGCCATTCTGGACAAAATAAGTAATTAAACATAAATATAACATCACGCCTTTTATCTCCGAAGGGATAGGCAGAGATGCACATTACGGCATTTAAATATTTTTTTTTAAATAATCCCGTAATACTTTGTCCGACCGGGGAGTCGAACCCGAGACCCTTTGCCCGGCAGTCACACTCGCGACCACTCGGTCAACGAGGCAATCAGGCAAAAAGTAATTACACTTTTTAGAAAAATTGATAAAATGGACAAATGAGTCATTGGTGTTTTACAAAGATATGCACATATTTATTTAACCTATGAATCACAAGAAGAATTGCTCTAAGAGAATTTGGAAAAAGAACATAACATAATATATAACATAACATTACGCCTTTTTATCTCCGAAGGGATAGGCACTTAGGCAGAGGTGCACATTTCGGCACTTAATGCCACTGTACAATGTAACATCCACCTTTCTCTATTTATGTTATGTAATAGGGGGTGAGCCTATTGCCATGTACCGGGCAAATTTCCAGACTCCGTGCTGAGATTTTTAAAAACCCAGTAATACTTACTTTGCCCGACCCGGGAATCGAACCCGAGACCCCTTGCCCGGCAGTCGCACTTGCGACCATTCGGCCAACGAGGCAGTCCGAGGAAAAAGATCAGTAGAGAAAACATTCATATTTCAAAACCGGAAACACCATTCAAGATATATTTTGACTACCTCAGGAATTGAATAATAGATTCCTTACCTAACAACTTGATATAGTCCGCAATCATTTTAGCTTGGTGTTGGTCGACACCGGGCTGGTTGAAATGGTTGGCCAACAAGTTGCTCAACTTTCTAAGCAACACGTCCACATTGTTGCCCTGTGTCTTCACTGTGTGTTGGTATTGGTACATCTAGAATATAAAAAGAATAACAATTAAATCAGGGCAAACTACAAAGGCTAGAAATGTACTGTTAAACAAAAATCTGCTCTAAAAACAAGAGATAAAATCATAAATTTCGAAGACATGAATACTAAATTAATTATTATGCTTTTCGTCTTACTCACGTAATACGTATACTGATAGTAGACTGATAGTCGTGGAATGCTGCTAACGAATGTGAGCCTCTTTTTTTTTAAGGGGGGAAAATCATCGAATGGCTGCTCCCGCCTGGGTGAGGCGGGAGGGAGTGTCAGACTCTTACTGACTAAAAACCACCCCGTTCCTTCTCCTGCACGTCGAGCCGGAGCCCCGGTTACCCATTCTCCGCGACAATATGAGCCTCTAGCATGGCTTGAAACTAGTCGAGTACCTCGTCAAACAGTTACGTGAGAAACTCTTAAAACACAATAATTAAGAGTTAAAATCCATTAAAGATTTAATATTTATAAAATTCACTGCCTCGTTGGCCGCGTGGTCGCAAATGCGACTGCCGGGCAACGGGTCTCGGGTTGATTACCGGGTCGGGGAGAGTACTATGAGGTTTTTTAAAAAAAATTCAGTAGTAGCAGGGAAGTTGGTATTGTGCCCGGTATATGGCAATAGGCTCACCCCCTATTACATGGGACTCATAACATAAATAGTGAAAAGTGGGTGTTGCATTCTGGCATTAGGTGCCAAAATGTGCACTTCTGCCTACCTCTTGGGGGGTAAAAGGTGTGACGTTATGTTATTTATAAAATTATACTTACAGCTGCATCAGGGCTACGTCCCAACATCCTGTAATCACAGATAAGTAGGTATTACAAAATAGTTACGAATTTTTGAAATAATGAAACACCCTAACATTTTTTTTATTTTATAAAGTTCAAAGTTTAACTTACGTTAATAAGTCTGTGAGTTCTGATATTTTCCCCTCGTTCTGTAAAAACGCTATGTAGTGGTTTAGAGCTACAGGTCTTGAAGACAGCAGCTCATAGACTAGCTTCTTGTTCAGCGTCTGAATTAGGAATAGAACCACCTGGAAATTAAAGGTAGATAATGAATATTTAAAAAAAATATGTATTATTAATAATGGTCAGTTTAGATAACACTAGTCAAAAAATTGACTTTTTAAATCTATACTATCTATACTAATATTGTTATCAAAGATGGCTATAGGCTACAGCCTATAGTCGTGTTTTACAAAACATCACGCTACGACCAATAGGAGCTGAGCAGAGCGTGTGAAACCGCGCGGAAGTAGGTAGTCTTTGGTAAAAGCTAAAACAATGCATTTTTTTCATGAATCTATACCTCAATGCTCATAACTATATAAGTCAATACTCTTGGGGATGATACATAATTATAATAAAAGGGCGACAGTTTGGCTCCCAGGTCGACAAAGATAAGAAGTCCTATTGGGTTTTTTGTTGTGGGGTGTGAAATTTTGTCTGGGATATGGCAATAGGCGCGTTCCCTTAATTTTTGCTTAATTCTACACACACACAACATAACATCACGCCTTTTATCCCCGAATGGGTGGAAGGTGGGTAGAAGGGCTTAACCCGTTGATATCCATCCCCTAAATTTGGTCATACAAAAGTATTCTCTAAACATTAGAAATAAGGTCTATAATGTAATGTAATATTAGTGGAAAGCAGTCACCGGTGACCGCTTGGGGATTTATGGGTTAATTCTACTCATGAAAAAATAAAAGAACTTACAGTCAAAACAGCATTCCCGTCTCCAATAGCCAGCGCTCCGTCCAGTAACTCTGTCTTACTCTTCATACTACGGTGTACATGTAAGGAACAGCTGCGACCAAGAGTCAGTCTCTTGAGGGTCATAGCTACTGTCTGCTCAGGTTCGTATTTAGTCTCCTTTGAGGGATCTTTGCCTGACTGTGCTAGGAGAACTGGAAATAGAAAAGAACAGAAAGCTTCGTGAGTTTCTTTACTTTAAAAAATTGTAGGTAATGTACCTGTTTATTATATTTTATTTCTTGTATAAAATACTAAAGCTATGATGATTAGAAGAAGGACATATTTGTAAACTGCTTATTTATTATGATATGATTGAGCTAATAAAAAGTTTTGTAAGAAGTGAATGTTCTTTAAGATATGCTTCTGCAAATATCCATGTTACAATGGGAAGCAATGTATTGACTATTTAACAAGACAACATAACATAACATAACATTGCGCCCACATAGGCAGAGGTGCACATTAAGGCACTTAATGCCACTTTCCATATTTATGTTTTGAGTCCCATGTAATAGGGGGTGAGCCTATTGCTATATACCGGGCACAATTCCAGACTCCATGCTACCATTGAGATTTTATTTTAAACCCAGTAGTACTTTGCCCGACCCGGGAATCGAACCCGAGGTAAAACAATTTACAATTGTTATTGAAATGAATTTAGAAATAAACAATGTTTATTGAACAGTACAAAATACATACTCAGATCTAAAACTTTAGATGAAACAAGACTGTTCAGTGGTATGGCTGCTGACTGAACAGTGGATATGCTGATGTTATTGAAGAGGCTCTCCTCACTCTGTCCTGGTGAGGAGTAGGACTTCTGACCGATGGCCAGGATCTCTTGTGTTGAGAGCTGGAAAAGTAATGATGAATAATGAGGTTGGGTTTGATTTTATAGAATTTAAGAAATCATTCAATATACTCGCTTCTTGAAAAATATTTTAAAGTTACTATCTATACTCGGAATTTTAATTCGATTCCAGATTTGACAATTTTAGTGTTGCAACGTTATGACAAGTACTAAATAGTGACGTTGCGAAATTATTCGATATGATAATGCAATATTACTGGATCGATTCTTCTTGTTTATAATTATTTTACTCTTGTAAACTAAGTACCTATATCAGGAAATTAAATATTTATGAACCGATAATTTAGTTTTGACGATTAATTAACGATCTGAGACCTTTCTTTTATAATTATGTGTGAAATAAATAAAAAAATATAACCATGAAGGAACATGACAAATAAAACAGACAGATGTATTATGGTAATAAGTTATTTTATAAATTTTCGTCGTCATCGCTATCGCTATCCTGTCCCTTTCAGTAACATTTATTATAAAACACACACACTGATTGTTTATCGATTTTTGTGTTCATCACTACACTATTATATGTGGTATCATTATTTCACAAAATGACAGTAGCTATTGTCAAATCTGGAATCTAATTAAAATTCTGACTATAGTGAAAAGTTGTATGAAATTTTGACAGTCAAAATAAATAGAAGGCATCTCATAAATTAGAATATATTTTATTGTTGGAATAACTGGTATGATCTTATTGTATTATAAGTAGTTTAATATTAATAGTATCAAAAACGGTAAAATACTTAAGTTAGAAGACACAACAAAGGTTTGAAAATGAGAAGCCATTTTAATATACATAAGTTTAGCACTCTTATAAATTACAATTTACACACTGTTTTCGCAATATTTTCGAAATAAAAATACACATATTATGGTTAAAGATACTGGCAGAATAGAATATGATCTATGCCTCATAATTTTAAAAGGAAATTACAACTGGGTCAGTTCCTCTATTGCTGGTGAATTTCAAGTTATTTTAATTTAATATTTAAAAAATACTCACGACATCATCATCAAAACTGAAAGCTTTGGCCTTTGTTTCACTCGTATTCCAATAGTCATCGTCATCCATTGTTAAAACAATTATTAAATTAATATTTTCACGAACCACGAAAATAGTAAACAAACAAGTTTTGGAATGTCGAACTGTCAGCTGTCAAATTTTTATGTCATGATGACAAAATAAAACGTTATCAGCGTTTCATTATTCGCAAAATTCTTAAAAGGTCTCAAATCTTTGTGTGGTTGTTGATCAAGGTCGTTGGAAAAAAGGCCCTTGTATGTGAATCTCATTTATTAATGGGTTTGTGCAATTTTGAGCCTATTAAACATGTCACAATTTTGAGCTAAATATATTTATGTAAATGGGTGCCTAGAATCTATTTAACTTCGAAATTCTGGGCACCCTTTGGCAACTCTTGTTATTATTAACTCCATCTAGAATGATTAAGTGGTTAACGCTAGTCATCTGTGGCCTAGAGCACTACCTAAAAGTACACTATTACTCCGGAACACGTCTACGCACAATAGTTTCAGTTATAGAGGTCCAGAGCTCATTGGCAAGTCCTATAACTACTATAAAGGGGCTTATGTTCAGGGAAATAAAATGAGTCATTAACGAAACTAAAACGATTGCACTTCGTTGATAATAATTAGGTATAGGTATTAATTTTCTGCAGAATTATTGCGTTGATATCATAATCTAGTAAAAGCGATTTGTTTTGATGATAATTATCGTAGGCATTCATAATAATGTTGATAAATTGTTACATAAACGTGCAACATAACTTTATGTAACCTTGAATATTAAAGGCCGTATTTTAATACCGATCTGATCTGTTGACGTCTGGTCTCGGACAAATAGTCCCTTGACAGAGTGGGCACTCAAACAATATGTCATGGGCACACAGCGAACCCGCTATGTAAAAAAAAATACGTAGTCTAGCGTGTAGAAGTTGCGTGTTTCGACGTCCACGCTACGCGGCCGAGACGTTAAGTTCGCAATGCAGTCGCCGGGTGATCACGACGCATTTGTTGCAGGCAACCACTAGTATGATTAATAAATTAATCTATTGTATTCTTTTGTCACCATACGTCCTTAAGTAGATACGTTACCTACACCTTCCTAGTCGTCTGCATTATCTCAAATTCTCTGACGCACGTGTGCCATACCTGCCATGCGCTTTTTTAAGTATAATGTAACTTATCATGCGTGATGTGATATAACGTTTGTAATTTATCGATACTATTGGTGATTAAGAGTGTGATTTGTGCCCTGAGCTGGTGATTGCTAAGGGGAAATCCTTTTACAATCAAGATAAAAAAATCGATCGGCTTTGAAAAAAGTTGCTGTTCGTTCCGTAGCCTTATACAATTTCTGTTAACCTACTGAAGTATAATAAAGGCAAGATAGCTCACAATACAAAATCAGGGCACTCACGACCTTGAATTGAGAGGCCTTTCTTCAACAGTTAACTACATTAAAAAATGTGGCCTTATCTATACCTCTATAAATTGTCGCGGAGAACCTAACGGATAACCGGGGCTCCGGCTCGACGTGCAGGAGAAGGAACGGGGTGGTTTTTAGTCAGTAAGAGTCTGACACTCCTTCCCGCCTCACCCAGGCGGGAGCAGTTATTCAATGATTTTCCCCCTAAAAAAAATCTATATAAATTATAAATGAATTTCCGTTTGTCTCGCTAAAACTCGAGAACAGCTGAACCGATTTGGGTAATTTTGGGTTTTGAAATGTTCGTGGAAGTCCAAGGAAGGTTTAAAAGTAAAGAATTTTTTTTTGTCGGTACGTAGTTTACCGGGTTAGCCAAAACCTTATTTCTTTAATTAATCAGTTGTTTGTGGTTCAAGATTCCACTAAAAATATCCGCCTTTCTTGCCCTCCTTTAATGCTATGAGATCTTGTACCTAATTGCTTTAATCTAATTCTGTATCTCAAATTATTTGAAAACTGTTGTCCATCTTTTGGTCAGATTACCTACCAACCCTAGTATATTTTATATATTGGATCTCCCGTGATAAATATTGCTTGTCACGATGATAAGGAAGGCAAGAAATCTTTTAATAATGAGCTGCGTATCCCTAATCGATTACCTACATAATTATAAAGACGATTGTTATAAAGACTTTGATTTTAAAGTATTTAGATAGATAGATAGGTAAATGACTATTAATTATTAAGAAATTACAATTGTTTACCTGCATTGTGGATAAAAACACGTATATATTTTTTAATAGTGTTTTTAAAAATGGTAGCCGAAGTTACTACTGGATTAAAACGGCAATTCTTAATCGCTGGATGCTGTAAGTTAAAATCTGATAAATCCTATAGTTTAAGCTCTAAAAACTCAGTGCTGCAAGACGCGGGTCCAATCACTAATCAGTGTGTGTTACTGGTGATCAACTATGGAACCGAAACACGGGCACTCATTATGGACCTCCTATGAAACCTCAAGGTCTCTTAGCGCAATATTAAAAAGGGATATGTTCAGTGTTTCTTTACGAGATCGGATCAGAAATGAGGGGATCTGCAAACGAACAAAAGTCGCTGACAAGCCCAGCGGATTAGCAAGCCTAAATGGCTTAGTAAGGTGGGCGGGGTACATAGTTCGGTGAACCGACGTCTAACGGGTCAGAAAAGTTCTCGAATGGAGACCATGTACGACCATGGATGCAAGTGCAGCGCAGGCAGTGACTTTATTTATGGCAGTCGTAGAAAGGGAAAATATTATAATTTCTTTTCTCCTATTTCCAGTGTACTTAGGCCAGTTGGTATTGGGCTACACATTAGGATGGACAGCTCCCGTGATAGCTCTACTCCAGAGTCCAGAGCAAACAATATTGGAAACTCCGATAACTGTTGAGCAAGCGTCCTGGATTGTGTCAACCAGTTTTGCTGGAGTCCTTACAGGTATGTAAATAGTAATGTGAATCAAATTGGTGAATTAAAATTCCTTAACACAATGGGCAGGTACGAAATAAACTAACCCATAATCGGTATAACTTAAATAAAGAATGTGTGTCAGTGAACTTCTTTCAGCTGATGATGATCAATACCTAGTAGTCGAAATGCTATCGGTTGCAAGAATTATATTTAAAGTCGCTTTATTTATAAGGTTAAATGCGAAATAATAAACTAATTCTTCATCATCTTTCCAGGTCCTTACATTGCTGGGTACCTTTGTAATGTAATTGGTAGAAAGCCTGTACTGTTCATTGGAGCTGTGTTCATGATAATTGGGTACATAATAAAGGCACTAGCTAAGCATGTAGCTGTTATATATACTGGTAGGGCAGTCGCAGGATTTGGGAATGGAATGCTATTCGTCATCAATTTAGTCTATCTTGGAGAATTAGCGTAAGTACCAGTCAATAATACCTAAACGGTTGAAGAATAAGAAGCCGAACCGACGAAAGTTCGGGACTTCAGAACTTAATGTCTATTAAAGCTTTCTCTGCATCACCCAAGGGTCAGACTGGTAGAAAATGCCTGCGGCATTAAGTCCACCTATGTGCTTGGTGGCGTGCAGCTTTTTAAATAAAATAAATAAAACAAAGCTGTAAAATGAATTTTGAAGTCTGTCATTAATTATTAAAATTATTGTTTAGAAAAACAAAAAAATTAATTGGTTGGTCCAAATTATATCCAGAAGAAAAATAAGAGAAAAAAGAAACATCAATGATTTCCCTTTGACAAGCACGTGCATCAGTCGTTTGGACCAATTCAAAAGTGTTTATTTCTGCCAAAAATATAATCCAATAAAATATATATCTACTGCGGACTGACTTTTTAACCGAATAGTCTACGGGCTAAGTCTTTATCTATTTGTTATTTTTTCAGATCAACATCAATTCGTGGGACTCTTCTAACATTAACAGGATTTTCAAGTACTTTTGGTACCCTAGTAGCTTACTGCATTGGACCATTTGTGTCCTACGCAGCATTATCATGGATAGCGGTGGGCATTGGAGTAGTTTACATCATTTTACTATTCTTTATTGTTCCTGAAACTGCTGTTTTTCTTGTTATGGCTAGTAAGTGCATATTACTTTTAAATTCTTAATTATTTTTAGACTAAATTCTGCTCCTAGTATGAGTATGGAACCTCACGCTTTGTTGAAGTAGGAAAACTCGATCCAAATGTTACCACGCAGATATGTTCGATAGGCGCAATTTGTGATACGATTTCAAATTAACCCTGATTCAAACTCCACGATTGGTTTCCAAATACAATAAATCCTTCACATTTTCAGATAGAAGAGACGAAGCGATGGATCTCCTCACATCACTGGGCAGAAAAGACGACATAGATGATGTAGTGGCTAAAGCAAATGAGAAACCAATGTCAAACAAGGCTCAAATGGCTGAAATGGTTACCGTAAAATCGAATAGAAAAGCATTGTTTATAATTCTCGTTCTGAACATTCTACAACAATTCAGTGGTATAATAGCGGTAATATCCTTTGCTACAACCATTTTTGAATTGACTGGGTCATCTATGGAGTCCTATATATCTACCATAATTGTTGGAGTCACACAAGTTGGTGCAGCGAGTATTGCACCTCTATTTGTAGATAGAACTGGGCGTAGAATTCTAATGCTGATTTCTACTGCAGCTTGTACTATAAGTTTGGTAAGTTCATTATCATTATCATCTTATACAGGTTTTACAGAACTAGGTAAGATTACCTAGTTTTGCTATGGTCTAAAATAATTTCTTCTTCATCTCTTGTCATTTCCAGGTTGCTCTTGGTATTTACTTCTTCCTATACGATAATGGTTACGACATCGCTGAAGACTTGCAGTGGATGGCACTAGTATCACTCGTGCTGTACTTCATTGCTTATTTCAGTGGTACGTTGGATTAAACGGAATACTTTGTATCAGAGAATTTACCTTAAAAAGTTGGAACAATCAGCACGTGCATACACAGCACAGCATATATATTTGATAAACTGATGATGCAACAGCCATGAATTTGCTGGGTGGTATAGTTGAAATGATTTCTAGTTTCTTGTTATGACATTTGAGATCGCAGAGAGCCAACTGGCTGGTCTGAAAGTCATTGGTGAAGCCTATTTGAAGTACCTAGTTGATAATGACGACAACGACGACGATTTTAACACAGCTTTAATTGATCACAATTTCATTAATCGAAACGAAATATTAATTTTGTTTCTTTCTTTTCATCAAAATCTGTAAGTCTATTTTTTATAAAATCTAAATCTTCTTCGTTGCAGGTTTCGGCATCATTCCCAACACGTTTATTGGAGAAATGTTCACTGACAACTGCAGAGGGTTCAGTTCCACCTTCACTGTCAGCATTGGATGGGTTTTCGGATTTGGTGTGTCGGCTGCGTTTGGGTATATGTTGCCTGCTTGGGGACCAGCAGTGACCTTCTGGATCTTCGCCGGAGCTTGTGGCATAGCCTTAGTATTTAGCGTAATATTCGTACCAGAGACCAAAGGAAAGAGCTTGTTAGAAATTCAAGAGATCTTAAGTAAATAGACTGTGATATTAGAATTAAAATAAATGACGTAAATAGTTGTTGGTTGGTTTTCTTTTATTTTTGTCATTATCATTATCATCTTATCAGCCACTAGACGTTCACTGTACATAATATCAAAATGACAATTGAGAAATCCTTAGTGGACAGCGCCAAGGAATCTGGCCATCAGAGACAATCAATAGACCTTTCTATCCTTATTAAAGTTGAGATTATAGTGACCAGCGAAGTTGAGATTATACCGAGTGCGAAGTAAAAATCTCTTTCGGGAATAGGTACAGACGTAGCCACCATTTCCATTTTTTTAATTACTATTTAACTTTTTCACAAGAGATTGTATCCCGGCCGCGCCATTAGCAAATGTCCTAAAAGAAGCTTGAAAAGCATAATGGTTTCTGTTGTGTGTTTAATATTTACTTAAATAATTAAACAAAATTAAGTACTTACCTATAGTAAATGTCCATAAGCCCTGTGTAAATCGCTAATTTCGTGTTAAACATACAAGACTTAATACAACACTTTAAACTAGAATTAGGGGTACAACAAAATAAAAACCAAATTAAAAAAAACATTTAATAAATAATATTAAGTATCACAGTTAATAAATCACTTTCCTAAGAACTCCTGAATTTCTAAGAGACTCTTGCCTTTTGTCTCAGGAACGAAAGTTGCACTAAATAGGAACGCGATGGTGCAGGTTGCAGTGAAGATATAGAAGGTGGCACTAGGTCCCCAGGCCAGGAGGATATAGCCGAAGGAGGTAGTGACAGCGAAGCCGACGATCCAGCCGACAGTGGCGGAGAAGGTTGAACAGAAACCTCTACAGGTATCAGTGAACATCTCTCCAATGAATGTGTTGGGGATTATGCCAAAACCTGGGAAGAAAAAGTGTTATAAATTGGTGTTTTGGTAATGTGACTATGAAATGGAAAACAAAGTCAAAAATAAATTAAAGAATTGGAAAGTGGGTATAAAGTGTTTCGTCTTCTGATTACTCTTTGAAAAAGTATCAAAGCTAATACTACTGCTAATCTCTATAGTGGACTGCTTCTTACTACTAAATTGGTTGTATTTTACAATAACACAATAGTGCCTGCCATATAAATATAGCAATCGAACTTGAAATAAGAACAAACGAAACAAAATAAGTGTAAAAATAGTTGATAATGTACTATGCAACGTTTATCTTAACGTGATAGTATTTCATCAACTTACCACTAAAATAAAAAACGAAGAATAACATTAAGGAGACTAGAGACAGCCACTGCAAGTCCTCAGCGATGGCGTACCCATTGTTGTAGAGGTAAAAGTAGGTCCCAAGAGCAGCCTGAAAAAATAAACAGTAAATATATTGACTGAAACAGGTTGACATAAACATACTGATCTAGACATTATCTTCTGTTGTGAAGTTATCACGAACAGTTTACTTATAGATAAACTAAATGGCGTAATGTGGTACAAATATTTACCAACTGATACAAACAAACGTATAAAAAATGGTGTACCAGAATATTATAATACTATCTACTATATCTAGTTACTTGGTTATTATAATATTTTAGATATAAAACCATCATTATTTTCCCATTTTGGCGGTTGATTCCGTAATAACACATCCATTTTAGAATCTATCAGATATTAAAACAGTAGATAATGAAGATGATTAAAAACTTACCATGCTCAAAGAACAAGCGCCAGTAGAAACCAACAACAAAATCTTCCGTCCAATTCTATCTACTAATAAGGGTGCAATACTAGCAGCAAAGATTTGAGTCAGCCCAACAATAATAGTAGACACATAAGCTTCTAAAGTTGAACCGGTCATAGCAAATATTATAGTTACAAATGCCGTTAAAGGTATAACTCCACTCATTTGTTGTAGTACACTTAATGTTAAAACAATGAATAGTGCTCTTCTATTAGACTTGACAGTGAACATTTCTGCCATCTGGTCTTTTTTAGATCTTGGCTTTTCACTCGCTTTGGTTACTACTTCCTCTATGTCGTTCTGTCTGCCTAATAGGGTGAGATTTGCTATGGCTGCTTCTTTTTTACCTGGAATAAGAGTAATATTGCATTATGCTTTCGTTATTTTTATTTAGGTTTGCGTGTAAGGTTTGTGTTCTTTGCGATGGACTAAAATGGCAATATGGGTAGATTATTGAGGTGATTAGAATTTCTTTGTCGGAGACTTAAACAATTCGGCCCAGAGAAAATAAGTTCTATTATATGAGGCCTTCTGAAAACTTCTATGGAATAGACTTAAGAATTAGAATAATCTGTAGTGTCTATAGATATCCACAAACAGATAGATTAATCTAAAAATGTAGATAACCTTGTACCTATTTTTGACAACAGGCTTAGGCAGTTTGAATCTGATATGAAAAGTGATAGAAAAACAAAGTTACCAGCAATGACATGATATGTTGCAGTTTCAGGAACAACAAAGAGCAAAGCAATGAGATATATTCCCGAGATAGTCATGGACAGCCAGGATATCGCAGCATAAGACACAAACGGTCCCACGGAGTATACAATTAGAGTACCAAATGTGCTGGATAATCCTGTCAGGGTGAGTAAGGTGCCGCGAATTTTCGTGGACCTGGAAACGAAAAATAATTATAAGTATGTTACTTAATGAGTCATCGACATAGGTGAAAAGCTTGTGATAGTTCGCGCCTAGATATATCCTCTACATAAGAGGGTTTGTCATAATCTACACGGTTGAGGCAGGTAGGATATTGCACATCATATACGGTCATCTTTATACAGGCTGAATGAGACACTATTGTTACGCTTACAACTGCACTCTGTACATATCCTATGTTAATTATATATTAGTATTAAATAATTCTAAACGTAGGTACTTACGCCATTTCACCAAGGTACATCAAATTTGTAACATAAATGATTCCATTCCCAAGTCCACTTAGGACACGGCCAGTGAGAATCATGGCTATATTTTTGGACATAGCCAATGTTAGGGAGGCAATAAAATGGGCGCAGCCGCCTAGAAAGAGACAAGGCTTTCTGCCTATCACGTTGCATAGGTACCCTGATATGTATGGACCTGTAACGAAATAAAACAAGTTAGATAACTGCCTCGCACTAAGTGTATGGTCTAAGATGATCTTTCATTATTTATAGTGCTTGATTTCATTTAATTATGAGGTTGGTCATCTAAATGATAATATAACATAACA